AGTAGTGCCTGAAGATTACATCGTGCGGCTACAAACGACCATTAAATGAAATGATGAATTTTTGAAGAATTTTGAAAACGGAAAAAATGATAGTCATGCCGGCCCAGCATCATCAACATTGAAAAATACCCCGGCATGAAGTGGTTAAACACTACACAGAGCTCTAACTTGTTGCTGTGTTTGTCTTGAGAGGCGGTGTTCCAGACCCAGAGTGGAAGAACCCCCATGTTAATAGATGCTGAAGTATTCATAATAAGGAAAGAAAAGTGAGCCCTGTTACATTGTACTATGTGCGATGTGGTCATTTTATCCTGAAGTTGGATGACTTCGACCACATCATTACATGCACGGAAAATTAAGATTCCGAATGCATTGAAAAAAAATAAATAATTGCAGGTACGGAGTGTCCAAAGATTGCAGACGGCTCCATAACCAAGTACTTTCGATGTACATCAAACCGCTCCAACATTTTCCATTTACTCGTATTTAAATCGTAAAATCAACAAATAATTTGCCAAGTCCATTTTTTCATTTCAATTGTGCTTGGCGCAGTTGGAAAATGCAACCATGGCAAATTAAACAAAAGTGAGCGCAGACAGCAGAGACACTTTTATCAGACCTCACAACTGTCACATAATGTAAACTTTGGACACGCCCACTCCAGAAGAACTCACGTCCGGAAGGCAATGTGGGGCTTGGCCAGGACGAGTGGGAGAATATATGGAAATTATTAGGGCGGTCGAGGCATGGGTGCTGGATTGAATGGGGTGATCGTCATTCAGAGCTAAAGAAGGGGGCCGTCCGGAGATCACGGTTAACTGTTACACGCCTGAGTGCCTCTGATGATAAAATTTCAGACATCAGAGGGCTTGATGGGTCTACAAGTAGGTTGATGGCATCTACCGCAGGCATTAATGAACAGAAGACCTATGGATGGAATAAAACACACATGGTAGGCTGATCGTATTGCGTTTTATTCATTGGGACAACTCCATAAAAGGTTAAGCGGTTCCCGGAGAGCAGATTTCTCTATTTCCCACCTACATGTAGCTGGCCCCCAGCACGGGAGTCGCGGGTGCTAGCCGGCAGTTTTATGGGTAGTCTAGCGATAAGCCTATGAGCAAAATGTTCAAGCCACCGTCAGGGTTTGGTATGCGTGACCTAGACTCACAATCACCAGAGGGCCACACAAGCAAACGACGTAAGGCGGCCCGGTAGAGTGTGCATGTAGTTCCTGCAAACCCGGATGCCCCAAAAACTGGACTGATCAAGGCAATGGCGTAGGGGCGGAGCTAAAATTGAGTTGTAAATAGAACCGGGTTTAAAGGAATTTCAGGCTATTCATGGTGACAGAATAAGCACGTAGTCCGAAACATTGAGTATGCTCCCGTTTTTTCAGAACCACACATACTCCATAAGAGATACATGTATATATCCCTTTGCAAGGTGCCACCGCAAGCCTTTCCACATAGACCCCGGTTCAGTTGAAGAATTATTATTACTATTGAATGAATTTATTAAGAGCAAATTCAATTTAAAAAATACATGTGTAAAGGGGCGCCATAGTGTATTAGACAGATCGACGGAGCCAGATGTGAAGCCGGAGATAAAACTTAATCTGGAGCCGGAAGCGGAGCCAGCTACAAATCCGGGTGAGAATCTGGAAGGAGATCCTCACACAGGGCATCCGGATCTGGGGCAGTCACCAGGGGAGTGGAAATTAACTCAAGGCAGCTGGCTAAGGTGGACAGCGTCTCCGAGAGAGCGGACCGCCCCAATGAAGAAATATCTTGCCCGGGTGTAGAGCAGGATTCTTGCATTTATGCTTCTTATGTGTGGTAACCAGGTCGTATAACCCGAAGAAAGAACCTTGGAGCCCGGAACATCAGTGGCTTGTCTGGAATGCTGGTCGTGATAGGTCAAAGCGCGCAGAGCCACACTGGTTGGATAGCCCTAGCTGGTAGCCAGAAGCCGCAGTCATGAGTGGCATTTGAGAACTACGGCAATGATGCAGTCCTGTAGCCCAAAAAGTTGTCGGTGAAGAGCCCACATAGGTAGGCGGCACCTCTGAATTGGCCACCCCAGAAAACAACGGACCGTCAGCCTGCGACATTATAACTTCCAAGTCACGCCTGAGCAAACTGCCGAGAAGTTCATCTGACAGCCATAGTCCATTGCATATGCTGGTCGTTGTAGCTGGCCCGGGAGGCATGGGGCCATCCTGGTGTGTAGACTGGGGAGCTATACAATGAATAAATATCTTTTCCATGGTAGACGCTAGTGGTAGAGAGACCGCCAGACTGGGTGGAATGTCAAATGCCCAGACCCAGATAACGGGGGAGTAAGTTTACTTGCCCCAATTGCAATGCCAACAGACAGAGCCACCACAATCCGGGACATGATCCGGAGCCAGGTCCCGGTGGGGGAACGGATCTGGCTGGACAACAAAGACCACTTCAGCCTCTGAGAATGTCCCTTGTGAGGTAGGAGGGACGGCCGGGAGGGGATTCGGGTCGGGTGCCATCTCCGCTGGCTGGGGCTTGGAGTCCATCGTGCAGGCGAGAAAGATGAAGGCCTCCAAGACGGACTGGAGGGTTGAAACGGCATTTCTTCTTGGCCTTGGACGAGGAGGAAGGAGAAAGATGTCTTGGCCTTGCGCTCCTTAGCCTTCACCAGTATGGGGGAGCCGGAGGCAGGGACGACTGGAGGAAGGACCAGGTGGGTCCCCTCAGTGGTCGGTCATCTCCTGAGAGGAGTGGCCCAGGTCAGGATCTGTGGCTTCAAATCCAGCGGCAGGCTAGAGCTGTGGATGGGATGTGGCGGACGGAAGCCCTGGTGGCGTAGCAGTGATCAAGGGCATTGTTACAGTACCGCTCACTCAGCCCGATCAATTCAGGTAGTGGTGATCAGGGTATTGTTGCCGCATAGCAAGCGAAACCCTGGCCTATTCACTCCACTGGGTCTCTCATCGTCGAGGCTACTAATTGGATTACGCAAAACTGCACCACCCAGCCCCACTCCATGGTCAGACCCATATAGCGTTGGGCTGTTTTTATTCGAATGCACGCAACCCATAGAGAACAAAGGGCTGCCCAGCCCTGTTCAACGGCCATACCCAAAACAACGCATCACAGTAGGTCACACCCAAACCTGTACAGTATATGATGCCCAAAAAAAAGGGGCAGGAAAGAACAAAAAAAAAACACAGCATACAAAGAACGAAATAAAAAATAAGCACTCTTACCAAAAGATACGAAATCCCTCTATATTTAAGGGTACGGAACTCGAAACTCTGAAAATGCCATAAAATACACGTCCGTAAACGACAGGTGCTGAGAAAAGAAGGACGAACACTGCAGCAGGATCGAAGTGCATTGTGGAGGGTCAAGGGGCAGCATGCATAATCAAGACTTTTCAGCGAAAATTGTAATAGGCACATGGGAAAATTGCATACGTAGGCTGGGCAGGGGTAAGTGAATACAGGTCATGCTACAATAGTAAAATCTAATTGTCCAAAAGTGTAAGTGGGCATGTAACCTTCTAAGTGAAAAATATGTTCTGATTTACTACATTCTTTGTCAACTCTGTAATTGTGTGAATCACTGTACGTGGAAATACAGGGATCTTGAAGGCTATAAATGGCAGAGCGAGTCATAATATACATTGTACCTGTACCCCGCTTCTAGAATTTCTGTTCTGGTAAGATGGGATAAGTGTAGAGGTCAGAAGAATTTCCTGTGCCCAATAATTTTATGTCTGGTCAACTGCAGCCATCCAAATCCACTCTAGTGGAATGGTGCCATGACAAACATCCCCGTACCAAACAATTGGGTAAGCCAAACATCCCTCTTGGTTCCCAAATTTTCTGTGCACTGTCACCAAACAGTATATATTTGCTTTACATACATGACACAAGAAAAACATTATTGTGAACTGATGATAATAACTCAAAGATGAGAGAAAACACACTCACAATGGAATAATGGCCAACACGTGGCCATGTCGAATGAGCCCTAATAATTTGCTTTGGGATTCGCCCCCCCACCAAAAGTTGGATACGCTGCTGTGCTCACATGTTGCAAGTTTGTGCATGTGTCCACAGGCGGCCATGTAGACCAACTGCCGAGTAGATGTACCAGTATGCAACTGTGGTGACTCTGGTGTGGAAAAATTTTTATGATAACAGCTACCAATTTTGGAAATTTGACATAAAAAAATCACCAAAACAGAACAAACATGTACATGTAAATACCCAGAGAGAGACCCCAGCTTTTGTTAGTCAACTTGCAGAAATCTTTGATAAATATCTTGCTATACAAGTAGTTTCAATCATTTTCAGAAATGCTTGCCTGACATTTTGTTGCTGACATGACATTTGTACAGTGTGTACATCTGCATGTATATGTCACCAAGTACTACTGTATTAGAATGTTTCCCAGAGTGGCCAATTTATCAAAGTTTTCGCACGTGTGATACAAAGTTCAGCTTAAACAGTTCAAATGTTTCTGGTGGCTTCATTAAATTTTCCTTGCCAAGCATGCTATTCCTTGTATATACTGTGCAAGCAAATACTGAAAATTTTCTAAAGAACATTGATATAGATTCTTAGCTTTAGGACTTGTAAATAAATTAAAAACATACCTGTTAATATGTAAGACAACATGGAACAATAGCCAATAAATATGGCTATGTTGGCGATGACACTAACTGGACCAAGGTGACGAACACTTCGCAGATAGCTAAACAGAATAAACAGCGGTAGGGGTATCAATACCAAGATGCTGTAGCCCGGACTCTTTGAAACAAGACTAACTGGCAAAATGTATGAAGCAGTTGAGCTGTTTGAGACATGAACGATGTCATCCCTGATTTGAAGTTCCTGATAGAACACCTCATAGGCTGGAGCTCTGGTTGAGCTGTTACTCCCCACAACAGCAACATATGGAAGATAGTGCGGAAACATCTTCTCAAATGTGTTCCCAAGAAATATGAAGTAGTTCACACAAAATCCGAACTGAGTTACTAAAAGAGCAAAATTGACCAATATTGTGCCAAATTTGCCCAGTACCAGAGAGGCTACGTCACCATAGGACAGACGCTTTTCCAGTAAGCTGCAGAGTATTCCTCTCATATGTGCTTCATCGGAATTCGGTTGGTTTTCACATGGAAAGTTGGCCTGCACGATATTCTGAATAACTTCTCTTTTACATTTGATGAGGAGATGGCAGCAATGCACTGTTGCTAAGGCAATCAAAAGCAACCCAATGATACCAAGCTGCGGATAAACAAAAGAAATAACAACTTGTTGTTATTGCGTTGATGTTGTGGTCACTGTTGATGTAGTTATCGTTGTTACTTTTTTTTAAATCCTGTCCCATCTGAGCCTGAATGCTGAAGTGACGGAAGATTTGCAATAAAATGAATTGAAAAGATGTAGTGCACTACACAACTGGAAAAGAGAGTTGAGTTACAAGATAGGCATGCTAAAGTACTTTTCGACTTGCACTCATCAGAGCATAAATGCAAGAATGACATAAGATGCTAATCAACAATGTTTATAAGGCTGGAATCACGTGTTTAAACACTAAGTGTTTCTGCGTCAATGGGACAAAAGTGATAATGTGAAATGGAACGTGCAGAAAAATTCTTTCTAATGGCTGAGAGTTTGTTTCATGAAGGAAATGTAGGTAGCCTGGAGCACACGTAAATGACTGAAATTAAATACTTTGGCTAGTACAGTTAACTACAGTCTGCTGTATTGTTTGGAGCATTCTGGGGGATCAAGCAAGTGTTGCCCTATGGTGGATGAAACTATCAACAGTTTGGGTGTTTGCCTGAGTCTTTACCTGCACGGAGCGGTTGATTACGCGATGCTCACAAGTTACTATGGATACAGGAAAGAATACACTGCTTGATAGGGTCCGACTGGGCAATGCAATGTTCTACCCACGTATCGAGCTTCACATTGGCACTGAAATTCATAAATAACATTGCTAAATTGCATGGTAGGCAGTGCATCTTTATGGACACAGTGAAAATTACGCCCGGTTCAACAGCGCAGTAGGTAAGTCTCACAGTTTTCTCAACTTGTTGTTCGAAAGTGAACGATACATTTCTCTCAGTGGCAGTTTGAGATACACGGGACATTTGGTTGGTCCATGAAGTCGTGGTTTGAGCCAATTTGTTAGGGAACAGGTTACATGTTTGTTGATAACTGATTCAGGATAGCTGGTTTTGAACAGGATGGATTTAATACGCCCAATTTCATTGTCTAATTTACACTGGGAGCAGATGTTTGCTGCTCTAAAAAAACAAGTATTTTATTAATTATTCAAGCTAACTTTGTGCTGAGTGCAACTGTACGAATCCAAGCTTGTGTACTGTCCTGTGAATGTGGGTTTACAGTACACAGAAGTTGTAAAACAGAAAGTCTATTTCTCAACTAGAACTTCGAGAAAAGGGAGTGCGCTTAGTACATGAACACGATTCCAGCCTTATAAGCATTGTCAATTAGTGTCTAATGTCATTCTTGTGTTTATGCTCTGATGGGTGCAAGATGGAAAGTACATGTACTTTAGCATGCCTTTCTCACTATTACTCAACTCTATTTTCTGATAAAACAAATTAAAATTAATGATTAAAACAACTAATGTAAAGATTTACATGTACCAACAGTAAGCTGCAAGACTACTATAAACATTTTAAAACTGAATACATGTTAACTTGGTCACAATATAAAAAAAGGGAGATTTATAAGGAAGGAAAATGTTGCTTGACAGGGAAACTTAATACTTAGTATTTAATTAAACTATTCATCTAAAAATGAAAAATATAAATGTACTACCTTGGAAATATTTGGTTCTTACTAGGTGTGGGCGACTAGTGAATTTTAGTAGTCATGGCAACTATCAATAAATAGTCTTGAATAGTCGCGACTATTTGCACTGTTTATTTTTGCATTAAAAAAACATGTCTGCGGTTGCATACCATAGCACAGGATTAATTTTAGATGATGCCACACGGTGAGTTTCACTTTTTCTGTTCGGAAGGTTGGACTTTTACGCTATCGTAAATGAAATATGAGGCGTATTTTATGATAAAAACTTTTGTCAGAAATGCTTGTGATATTCCTTCTTTGCTTCTCTGCTTACTTACTACCACTTTTTGGAAGGAAACTTTAATTGTTCCACAATGCGATCAACAACTTTGCAGAGGTGAAAAGCATACAGCACTTATGTCCAACTGGTGCCCCGCCCCAGACACAGTGCTACGATTGTAACAGTGAAGGACAGGGACCAGTTCATGGCTAGGCTGCGTACGTGCACGCACTGAATTGGGCTGTAGGCTCCCTTCAGTTGTTGAGTGTGATGTTCGTTAACATGTCAAATAAACATCGATGGAGAAGGGAATTAGCAGCAGATTTGATCCAAGAACATGATTTTATATTTTTTGTGTATGTATTCAGTGTTTTAATGTCTTTATTTCAAGTTTGCACTGCTCTCACAAGAGACAATACACTCATAGAGCGAAGCAAACTTTCGAGAAATTTGATGTCCACGTGGTTCTGTAGTTTATTGCCCATGTGGCCCCGACACATATGCACAGTCCTGCTGCGCTTATTCATCGCGACTTCAGCTTTTTGTACAATTTTAAGAATCAATGTCTTCATATATGTGTATATTTTTACAAATGATCAATGCAAGTTTTGTCACTTTTGAGAGCCTCCATTTCGAAAGCTTATGTCCAAAATTCCAAAACACTTCTGTGTTCTTGGTAGCGGTACAAAAATTAAACTGCTAGAAATTTCAAATAAAAGGAATTATTCCTACATTTTTCGGCAGACTGGTTTCATGCAGAACACGGATTTATCTTACCCCAATTCATGCAACAATACCGTCACTTTCGTGGTGTTTTACATACAACACGTACAGCCCATGTACTTGTACATCGCATGCTTAAGCAGCACACGTGAATAGTTCACCTCAATGCTAATGAATTTACAAACATTCAAAATGCATGTAGACAGGCGAGGTGCATCCTACAGGGTCAGTCATGTTCACATGACTTGGACACTTCCATTTTCTTCAAGGGGAGGGATGAAACCCTATTTTTCTATAAACAACATCAGGAAAGCTTATACCAAATAAAATATTTTTAAATCACTTTGCACAGAAAGTAGCTATTACTACATGCATACAAAACTTTTTTTATTTCACAAATGTTTATACGTTAAATATTAAATACAGAAACAACAAATGATCCCTATTTTGGTCAATGAACTCAACTGGGCACTGTGCAGTTTACAAATCAGCCTTTCGATAGCAGAGGAATTACAGGGAAATGTGGAATCACACATCACAAACATTAAACAGTGATTTGTAAATATTATTTGTGACAAGTAAAGAAGACTCTATCGCAGTGTGCACATTCATCACAAATCCTTTTTTTTACTTCACACAAGTGCATAAAAACGCAATAATTCTGAGGCTTAAAGCACAGATGCATGGCTCCGCTCATGAATAATATCTTCAAGCAAGAAGGAATCATGTTTGTGCCGTATCTTGTACAATTATGTCCGAAGCAAACTAGACTAGTCACAGCTGTGATGCACTGGCACTGGGCCCACACGACTCAACTAATCGTGGCTGCATGACAACCACAACTAGTCGACAATAATACCATCAAGAAAAGAGACAAGGTACTGGGTGGTCACTCACGACTATCAAGTTGTGTAGTGAGTGCAAACCGACTAGCCAAGCTTGGAGTACAAACTGTACGTGGGTGAGGGCAGCTAGTGGCTGCTCTGAACACACTTGGCACAGCGCTGGCACCACGGAATATCAGCGTGAAGTTAAATTTTATTTGAGGAAAGGATTTTTTAAACAAGAAAACTTTGCAAATTCAAAATCACCTCTAGAGCATAATGGTATGATCCAAATATGGAAGCTGTTTTGGAGCAGAATGGTGAAAGGGATTTTCGTCAACAAAACGTATGATCTCCACACATTAAACCTCCCATGTTTCAAAACAAAATTTCTTCTTTCATGTCTTTGTTCATAATCACTAGTGAATCAACTACGAATGGAGTTTTTTAGACTTTCATCAATGTGTAAACTGACGTGAAAGTGCAGTCATTAAGCATAATCACGCGTACACGTGCATTATTACGTAGTCCTACTCATTTTGGGGTCACAGACACTGTGTTCCTGGATAAATTTTTTCACGAATGCAAAATGCTATACTCCTAGCCACTGAAAACTGCTCTTTTTAAGGGAATGAGAACTTGTCAAGCCTGTTTCCTACCCTGACCCTGCAGATGTTGTTCGCTTACTACAAACGCCCTGTGATCTATAGATTTTATGCAAGGTAAATTATAAGACCTCAAATTCAAGCGTTGAAAATGCAGCGCTGTTTTTCTCAATTTTTCACAGAGCAGTTGACTCAAACATGAAACACGTCAGTGGAATGTAAGTTGCAGTGAATATTATGCATCGGAATTAGCCAATTGTGAAATTACAACAAAAAACCAATGGCGTTCACTACCTTTAATGTACATGTACTATGACTATATACATGACTATTTCTTACATTAGGTTGCACGTAGATTGGAGTGGTTTATTGCCACTGGTACAATTGTACCCCCAAAATAGAAATTACATGTACCTTGGTTCTTGTGCTTAACCCCTTCAAGGCGGGATTATTTAGTAACCAAATATGTTTAAGAGGGAAAGTTTTTATGTATTATTACAATACGATTTTTTTGTCTTCTGCGTGTTTGGAAACAGCAACTGAAACTAAATACAAATTAACTAAAGGGGGATCGTTCAACGGCGACCTGCGACCTGTAGAATAAATCCTGCTCCGTTCCATTTCTTTAAAGGGATTTTTCTATGGTTTCCTTAAAAATCCTAATAAAAATTTGTTTATAGCCAGCTGAAATTTCAATTTATATCCCGTTAGACAATGAACGCTCGCACAGACTGTCTGATTAGTGCATGAACAGAAATTCCTTCTCACTCTAAGTAAATGAAGCAATCATGCAAGAATCAAGTTTTTCACCAAATGAAGCCTATCTCTAGCTTTCAAGCAAGTAATTCATGTTTCAAGTCACACAATCACCTCATCCTGAGCCAGTAAATTTCCTGGTTACTGTGATCATATTGTTTATCATATTTAGGGGTTGTTTGTTTAACGGTCTGAAAAAAAACTTTTGTATATGCCCAGAAAGAAAATTCCTGTAGCACCTGTCACTAAAGCGTATCCAACACGAAGTCT